TTGATTTTATACTTCACTGATGTAATTTTAGTTGGATGTTGCTCATTAATAATTAATAATCACTGATCTTGAATAGTAATATTTTCAACAGTATGATTTTCCAGAGAAATAATTTGCAAAACCAGATAATGCTCCCATTTCCTGGTGCAGCCCACCCTTAGCAATAATGTTGCCACGGAAACAGCAAAACTCTGATCCAGTGAAAGAACAGGGACTGAGGGTGAAAGGGAGATGGGGGCAATTTATAGTTTTTTTGGTTTTGGGGTTTTTTAAAATAAATTAACTAGAATTTGTTAGAATAGTTTTGGTTTCAGATTGGTTTTTTTTGGGAAAGGGGGTGTTCCTTGATTTTGGGTTGGTTGGTTGGTTGGTTGGTTTTTCTGTAATGGTTTTTCTGTAATGGCACCCTTTACCTACATGCCTTCAGGTTTTTTTGCATAGGACAGTAAGCTGAGGTTGAACTCATTATGGAAAAAAACCTAAGCAATGTGAGCCCAGTCTATGCTTTGATTCCTGAAAAAGGTTTTGAAGTAGAAGTATATAGTCCTGCCACTGAACAGAAGTACAGTGCCTTTCAATACTTCTTGCCCCCCTTGAAATCACAGTGTAACAGGATGTAACTGAGCTCTGTGTGCAGGTAGATCAGAGAAACAGAGAAATACAGAATATGATATGTTAAGTATGTACAAACAGTACATATAGAATTATTTAACAATTTAGTTTTTAAAATTAAAATTCTTAATTCTTAAGAAGGTTAGACATAATGCCTTTCAGCTTATCCTGATGTTATCTTGCTTTTCTTTTAACTACATCATCTAAGCTTGCCTCACATAAAGAAAGCTGAATTAGGCTGATTAATAAATACATGGGTAAGAGATTTCTGATATAAGTCTATCTTGTGTTGTGCAAAGAATGCTGATATTTTCTTAATTATCAAAAAAAGAAATGTCCCCAAAGGATATTAGGAATCATTGTATTATAGGAATGCTGTATTTTTATTTGAGGAATTGACCATTTGTTGATATTGAAGATTCGCCAAGAACATTTACTAAAGCAGATTATTAAGACTTGTGTCCATCATATTACAATGTAAGGAATAGCATCCTGTTTGCTGATGGCTTAATGTTACATCACACCAACAGAAATTGTTTAGGACTTGTCATAAGGAGGAATGTTAACTATCATGCTCTATGGCTATATTTTGTGAAGTATTAAAACTCTTAGCAACATCATAAACATATATTTATGCTTGACTGACAGCCAGTGTTTCTTATAACTTAGCTAACCTAAATTCCATTTGGAGGGTGTTTTTGGTCCAAAGTTAAGTTGTTTAGCCGGCAAGCAGTTTTACTGCTACCAGGTGACAACTCTGAAAACGCAAATATTTCAGCAGAATTTCAACAGTTTCTAGCACTTATTTGTTGTAGAGTACATACTTAACCACAGTGTGTTACTGGAATGAGGTTTTTTTGCCGACTCTGATCATATGTTTAATTTTCTCTGAATATGATCACTGAAAGTCAAATCTTTGCATTCTGTAAAGTTTTTTACTATAGGTTGGGGAACATAGTGGTGGTACTTCCCGTGTTTCCTCTTTATGGTGGTTGCATTATCCTACCTGGTCTGGCTTGTGTATTGGCAATATCTCCTAAATTTGCGGCAATTTAAAGCCATTTAATCCTCAGCAAAATGTACTTTCTCTAATCATCACCCCAGCGTAATTTCTTTTCTTACCCTTTGTGGTTAATAAAAATTAGTATCTTCTGAAATACAGGCTGCAGAGGTAGCTTGGATATAGAAGTAAAAAGGTGGCAGCTAAGAATAAGCCCCTAAGAGCCACTTGGTGGAAGAAAAAGACATGAAACAAGAACTGAATTAAAGCTGAAAAAAACAACAGGAAAAAAGATCAAAAAAGAAAGAAGGGTCTAAGAGCCAAAATTACCAGTAGTTTGTAAGAAATGCTGTATTTTTTCAGAGGCAGTGTACACCCCCTCACTGTGTATGTATTTCTAGGGTTACATATTATTTTTCATTTACTGACATTGAATTTCCACCTGCCATTTTATTACTGTGTCGACAAAGGAGTAATTGTTCCATGGCCATTTATTAATCGTGTTGTAGTGTCTGGCTCACAAGCCTGCAAAAAACAAAAAGAAAATAAAAAGGCTCATTTTCAACCCGGTTGAAATTCAACGTGCTGACTTAGCCCAGGTTGCTAAATAGAAGTAAGAAAAAAATAGTGCTCTGAATGTCTTGCTGTCTTGCAAGATAATAGCAGCAACAAGCTTGTTTAAGGCAGGCATGGTAAAGTCAGTGTGCAAACTCCAGACACAGTGCTGGAAATGCAGAAGACATTATAAATGCTCTGGCAATAGCTAGAATGAGCTAGATCCTAATTTATATTGCAGTTTATGCCTATTACACAGTCTCCTAATTTCACTCATTATTTCCTGGAGTTGGATTTGAACCTGCTGCCTGCAGGGCAAAATTATGTACTGTTTCTAGTCCCTGGAACTATAAAAGGCAAGGTTTTGAAATGTTCAGTTCTCCTGCCCTAGGACTGGATTTGTAAGGGAGACAGTTTCCTGATCAGACACTGAAATAGGCACTGGATTTCAAGCACTGGGTAACTCAGTGGCTTCTACTCCTCTGCAGTGTCTAATGTCAGATTTACAGTAGAGCTCTGCATCCAATGGATGCCTTGCAAGCATTTCTCTGTCCAGTGAAAGTTTCAAAATTAGACCTTTTGCTGGTGTTCTGGGAAGCTTTCATCCTCTAGCTTTCCCTTTGCCTACCATTCTCGTGAGTGATGATCATACTGTCTTTAAATATCTACTGTGCTAACAGGGTAAATAAGGGAGAAATAAGTATATGCAATTTTTTTTCAAGGAGAGCTTTGGGTTTGTTTTTGTGGTTATTTTTATGGGAGGATTTGTTGATTGGGTGGGTTTTTTGCTTGGGTTTTGTTTGTTTGTTTGTTGTGGGGTTTTTTGTTTGTTTGTTTTGTTTTGTTTTTGTCAGAGATCTCTGAAGACAAACCTGTAAAATCTGTGAATCTGCGGGTGCACAGAGAGCAATCAAATATCAAACGAAATGTGCACATTCATGTTCCTATGCTGGATGTAAATGAATTGGCTGAATGAACACAGTCGGGGAGAAACAGAGATCTGACTCCGGTGTTTTCCTCACCTGCTACTCCTGTGGACACCCTAGGCATTTCTCTGGCAACACCCTGTCTTCTGCAGGGGCTTCACGACCCACTCCCGTCTGCTGACACGCCGGCTTCATTTTCTGGTGTTGCAGCAAAAAAGGTGCCGCCTGTGCTGGAAATGGGATCTTCCACTATTTAGCAAGGCTTTGCTGAATGAGTCATCAAAGCCGGCTGGTATTGGCTGGGCTGGTGAGCACCCAAGGGATTGCCTGGCAGAGGCTGCGAGGCCTCGCTTCATTCACAGAAATGTGGGGATGCTAGCCAGCCCTTTCATTCACTCGCGCAGCATCTCATTCACATTTTGCAGTCCTGCTGGCCGCTTCTAATGAAGAGAGCCGTTCGGGAGCAGTAGGGTTTTCTGGGCAGTAGAGACATGTAAAAATAGGCTATGGTGTGTATATTTGCTGTTGCTGTGCTAGGAGGATGACGAGAGGAATGAATGCTGTGAGGATGCTGTAGCAGGTTTGCAGCGTGGTGATGAAAGGCTCTTCTGCAGATCAGTAGAAAACTGCTTTACATTGACTAGGACATTGCCATTATTCATCACTGCTGGGATAAGAGGTGCTGACTTAATTCAGTATGTCATGAATATACTAATTAAATACCTGTATTTAAGCCGGCTGTTCCACTGTGTTTGCAGTTTGTATACTGCAGCCTTTAGTCGTGGGAGAAGGAAGGAATTCCATAGACTTTTTTCCTTTAAGTTGTGCTGCAGTTAGTAATTTATTTTAAAAATTTGCACTATGCAACTTCTCTGGTCTGAATTTGTTTATAATGCAGTGTGTTGTCCTACATCCAAAAAATGTTTTGCAAAGCAGATTGATTTATAGGAAAAAAACATATGACTTGTGATGGGCATTGTGTATCACAATGCTGTGCACATTTGGACTTCTAAAGAAATTGAAGGAGGAATGAAATGCCTGTTCTCTGCATGTTTTGCTACTTCTCCAGATCAAGTGTTTGTGACTGACATTCATTCTTAATAAAGGCTTTTTTTTTTTTTTTTCCTCACTGCAGGGTGTCAGTTTGCTGCTACCTGGACTTTTTAATATTCTTTCAGGGTTTTTTTCAGTTTTTCAGAATTGAACCAAACATTCCAGTGAATTGAAGACCCTCTTCATGTCTTTCTTCGGACTGAAAATCAGTTGTGAAAGAAAAAACGTCTATTAAGCCTGTTTTTGGACATCAGAAAAATACTTTTCTTCACACATAGGTACTTACATAATTCCTGCATTAAAATAGAATGCTCTTGTGAAGGAACAGGGAAGAAGGATTTATTTCTCTGTCAAAATTTGAATATAACAGTTTCTGTGAGGGACAGCATTGACAAAAAGGCACTGTTAGGCTGCTTTTGTGGAAAAAATGTATATATTCTTTAGTTCTGTTCATCTGTTCTGAAAACCTTTAAGGTGTCTGTGTTCTGCTGCAGGGGCAGGAGAGGGGGATTATATGTATGCAAATATTATCCAGACATTTGCTATCTAATTGTGATTTCTTTATAGATTCACAAATATGTGAGGTGGAAGAACATTTTAACAGATGAATAAAGTGTGCTGTTTCATAAAGGCTATTAATTCAGTTTTAAAGGTAATTGCCTTTGGTACTAAAAGGGTGGTGGGAGGGGATAGGAATTAAAGGTTGGGAGGAAGTATCTGTTTGAGAAGATAGGAAAAGGGAATTTGAGAATTGATTGGTGCTAGTGTGCTGTAAGTGGGTGGATGTGGTTTTTTTTTTTCTTCTCTCTCCTTTTTTTTTGGCTACAGGAAGTGATTTGCAGTGTTCACAGCCTTTTGTTGAAAAGGGTCCTTCTCATTTGTGTGAGTCATGCTTTTGCTGTGAGCGAGTTGGCAGCTCTAAGCAGGACTGAGATCTCAGTCACAGAAAACTGTTACTTCACCCAACCTTAACAAGGAACCAAAAGAAATTTCTTAAATATATAGTTTTTCATTTTTCCTTATACTCTTTTTCTTTTTTACCCTAAACTCTTGTTAACCCTCCGTGCTGTTATGAATTGCTTGCTATGTTAGTACAGGCATCTCCTGCATTGGCATCAGATTTGCCAGAACGTATGCAGGAAAGCAGATAGAAGGGCATGCTTCAACGTACAAAGTATAACCGCTTCAGGAATGATTCTGTGACATCTGTTGATGATCTTATTCACAATTTGCCCATGAACAGCAAGGTCTCAGGAGTTGCTACAACTTCAGCTTCACCTTCGTACCTGGTCTCACCAGAGGTTCTCCGCAAGGACCAAGAAGATGGACCCAGCACCCTGTGTACCCTCATCCATAAAGTGTCCCACTTGAAACTCTCTAGCACGGGCAGCCTTTTGGGTATCAAAAACCTCTCCTCTGCAGTAAAGGAGCTTGCTGTCTCCAAATTGCAGGGAAGCTCGAGTGCTTCTAGTTCAGCAGCAGGGGCTTCAGACAACACATGTAACCTTGTCTCTGCCACTTCGTGTTCTCAGCAGGACGTGAGCAAGATGAGTATGGGGAAAAAAGCACGGTCAGAGGAAATGCACCTGGGAAGTGAAGATTGGAATCAAACTAGCAGTTTTGTCAATAAATCCTCTCGAGGATGGCTGCACTCGAGTGAGAAGATCCTGGGACCTGGTGTGACGTACATTGTGAAGGTTGGTCTGTTTTCTTCCATTCTCTGTTTTTATCAATGAAAAATTCTCTGCTGGTTTTGCTGACAGGATAGTTAGGCTGAAAGGATCTCTATTTGTATTTTTTTTTTTTTTTGGTGCATAATACATTAAATGTAAATGCAGGAAGGAAGGGTTGAGAAGCTGTGTTAATTTGTTACATTAAAGCAAACCTGCAAATATTGTTCTACAGCTGTATAAAAATCTTGTTCTTAAGATAAAAGCTGATTTGATCTGGGTTTTTTAGCCTTCTTCTGAATTTGGGTTTTCAGTGTTATCTAGCATACTCTATATATCTTGGATACGTAGGCTTTCAATATGTCTGGTGCAATATACAGGAGGAAAGACAGACTCCTTGATCTGAGGAGAGCTGTTAATCATGCATGAATTTTTCAGTTTTAAACACCTCTAAGGGCAAGTGTTTTTTTAAACTGAGATGATATTTGAAATCTTAGGGCAGTAAGGCAGGGAGCACAGTTCTTATTCTGTTTCACAATTTGTTGTGGGTAGAGCAGGAAAATGCAGCTTGTTTTACATAATGAGCATTCAGCCACTTTAAGTGTTATTGCTCTTTTCAGTCCATTGATACAGCATGTTAAGAGCAGAGGATCTTAAGTTTACAGGTTAAACTTAATGTTTCTATATGCTTTGAAAATATTTTGAAACCACCTGTTAAAGTAGAGCCTTCAAGATAAGTGTATGTGCAATGCTTTTTGTAGTTAGGCAAGAGTCTGGTAACACCTTTCAGCATGGTGTGCAGAAAGTGTAAAAATGACATTATTGTCCAGAATTCATTCTTCAGTTGCCATATTTCATTTGCCAAGAGGCTTTTGTATCTTAAGTGTTAAACTGTTTTGCAGCAGGCTATTAATATTACAGGTCTATTTTTAGTGTCATCTTATTTTAGGTGTAAGAGTCACAGGTGACTTTATTTCAGGATGCTTTAAAACTGAGTAACACCCTTGTTACTTAACTCTCACTGCTTTTTCTCAAGTGAGAAAATAATTTCTTTTCCTTTTATTATCAAAAGCAGAGTGCATTTTTAGCTGTTGGGAGACTAGGAAGCAGTTTTCATTTCTTTGTGTTAGTGGTGATAATAGATTTAGCAGGTGGTGGTAGATTGAGTAAGTTGGCCAATTCAGAGCACTATTGAAATTGTACTGTCTTTTTTATCACTCTGAAATTTACTGGGATCACAAAGGAGTCAGTGCTACCTTTCAAGCCACAAACTGCTGTTCTGTTACTCTTCAAGAAATGTCTCAGTAAAAAAATCCCCACTGATGCTAGACATAGTGGTCTTGAGACTCCTGATGTCCTTCTGCACAGAAATACTCTGGTTAACAAAAGGTCATTTACCATTTTCACATTAGCTCAGGCAACTCAAATGTTTTACTTTTTATTTTGCATAGGATAGTACAAGCCCAATAATGACTGTGTGAATACTCTGCTGCTGTTAGTTTTACCTGAAGTGATCATTCTGAAAAAGAACACACACAGCACTGAATTTCTTAATCCTTTCAGCAGTTTACATACTATATGCTATAGGAAGCTGATATCTTTGAATTGAAAAGAGAATTAAAGTTATACAGAAGTGGACTAGCATTTACAGTTAGTAATTTACCCATACCTAACTGAGATAGTAGAATGAATATTAATTAGTGCAATAGATGTTGGGTACATGAAAGTGTATTTATACACACTGTGTATATCAGAATTTTCAAAATCAATCAAACAACTTACTTTTAGGTGTTTGTTAGTAGTTTATTAGTCATTAAAATATATGAAATCTAGTTTATTCTTTCTGTTAAAAAAATAGGATGATTACTTTAACTTTATGGTTTCTGTCATAAGAATCACAGAACAGTGCTCTAAATGTAAAAACAAAGATTGAAAATAGATATCAAAATAAGTGGTTAATGAATGAATGAATGAAAATAAACTGGTCCTGATTAGTTCCTAATTTGCCTGCTTATTAACTATCTCAGTTTTCCTTGGCAACTGCAGCATTCATATGGATAAGAATAGAAGTGCAGTTCCCAAATCCTTAAACATTGTTTGCTACCAAGGCTTTTATCCAATCAGACCATCAAATCAATACACAGATAATGTATACTGAGGGGAAACATTCCTTGGATACCTCATGGCTATACTGACTGTCTGGGGGACTCGTACCATGTTTAATTAGTACCATATGCCTTTCAGAAAATTCCATATGCCATTTGTTAAATGAGACAAAAATTAGATTTGTTGTTAACCAGCAAAGCCTTTTTTTTTTTTTTTTTTTGGGCAAATGTGCACTGGGTTACAATTTTCTCATTAATCCACATTTAAAAGAGAAAATTTGTCATGGGACAGGATTATTTGTAACTACTGGGCAGTTTGATAGCTCACATTGGAATCTTCTGAAATAAGAGACACAAAATTCTTATGTGCAATATATGAAAAATATGAAATTTCACTGCTGTTCCCACATTTTTACATATTACTCATTTTAAAAATAGGCAGTATAACTCTAATGCTTAAAAAGGGTGCAGGTTTGTGGTAAACTGTAGCTATATTCTGATCTCCATGGTCTGCTGCAATGGAATTGTTTTCAACCATAAAAGTGCTGGTGCTTTCTCAATCTTTTACTCCCTGTGAATTTCCTGTTGCATTTTTATATATTATAACATAAAATGTTTCACAAAAACAACCTCAAAAAGCATTTTAGCAACAAATTAGACAATGACCATAACCATACTGGGGATATAAAGTAGTCAGGTACTGATATCATACTTAATACTACTGCTGGACTTTTTAACAAATAATGAATTAATGAAAAAAAAAGGCAGTAGTTTGCTGTGCTGGAAGTCTTTAAAGAGCTCAGTGCTTTCCCTATAGTGGGACTGATTACTCAAGGAAGAGATTATATGTCTTCATGTTGTCAGAAAAAAACAAAGGCATAGAATAAAAACAGTGTAAAAAAACCTGAGTAATGCAACAACAATTAAATGTTTCAATGTAATCTGTTGTTTCAAATGATAAATATCTACTTATGAGTATCACTGGCTAATATTATAGACATTTTGGAGTTTGTTTTATTTAAATGTGAGCACAAAAGTTAAGAGGCAAATGCATTTTTGTCTTCAGGTAACTTGTGGCTGGATTTTGTAACAAGTGTCAATGAGTTTAAAATACTGTTGTTCAGCAGTTCAAAACCAAATAAACCAAAAATACTGTATAATTTTATATATCTATATGAAGTGTATCTGAAAAAGCCAGTAAGATTTAAAGCCAACACAGTAATATAGAACAGACCTGAGTAAATCTAGTGTTAAAAACCAGATAGAAACACAGTATCTAAGAGAGAGGAAGGAAGAACTATTTCATCCAAAAGAATCACTTCAAGTCAGGCAAATAATATTTCAATAAAAAGGACATTAAATTATTATTATATTTCAATATAAAGGACATTATTCTTATTATAGCAAAGTATTCAAAGAATATAATCCTAACTGATATTATTTCTTTAATATTCTAACACTTTCATTCTTTGTGAGGAAATAGCAACAGTTTATATCTGATGTGGAAAACAGACATCATTGTGATGCTGTTCAAACACATCACCAAGTAAAGGCTACAGTTCTGCAAACATTCCTGCATGACACTGTTTACGGGAGCATTCTCATTGAAATAATTGAGGCTACCTTTGTACACTGGAAGTTAAGTGTGTGCTCAGGGGTGAACTGAATTGCTGAGTCTCTTTAGTGGCTAACCCAGACTGCAAAGCACAGCCTTAAATGGAGCTAACAGAGTGGAAACTGCATCATATGTCGCCTTCCCCTAGAAGACTTCAGGGCTCTTTGGAAAAATGTTTCTCTTTTTATTTTTTTTTTCCTTTCTGTTGTAGCCAGAATTGATTTGCTCTCACTAAAAAAATCCCAAAAAACATTTCAGCAAAGCGTTTTCATTTCTCTTTTTAGTTAAAATTATCTTCTTTATAGAAAAAAATTTGCAAGCTTGTTTGGGTTTCTTTTAACTTAATTTCAACTTTTGTCAATCAAATTGAGGTGATGCTGTTCATTAATCACTGATCATTTTGCAGGGCCTGACTAAAAACCCCAAACCACAGTCCTAGAGCATCCTGTTTGTAATAAGGTTTACATGTTTAAGAAGTGTGTTGTGTGTTTCAACCATATGGTAATAATAGGATAGAATACTGACTTTTTACTTCAGAATCTGCTAGCCTCAACCCGGGTACAAAAACAGTGCTAACAAAGACTAATGAAACTGGCTTATCACTGTGGGTTTTAAAGCTGCATGCATGCAGATTAGGGGAGAGAGAAGTAAGTGACAAAGACAGCATTGGTTTAAGTAATTAATCCCTCCTATTGTACCATATTCCTGAGAGATCAGTTAGTATCCTTTCCATTTTCCTTCACTGTTATTTGAACTATGAAAGAAGGATGTTGATGCCTGTTGCTCTGCTGAAAACCTTTCTTTTGATCTTCATGGGCCTGAACTACTGTGGGTCTGTTGTACAGCCCAATAATAGGAAAAGAGCATTTCTCACAGAAATTAGATCAGATTCTACGAGCAGAAATCATACCATAGAGTCTTTAATTATAATATTATTCTAATTACATGAATCAAGTACTATTACTGTACATTTGCACCCTTTTTTTCTTTCTGCAGAAAGCAAAGCATGTATTGATTTCAGAGTTAAAGGATTCAGCTGTCAACATGAATGTCTGTTCTCCAGTACATTTGGACTGTTTGCATGGAGTATTTTTGTTCAAAACAAAAATTATACTCTTGCTAGTTATTTATCCTGCTGGTTATGTATGTCCTACAGTTTTAAAATCCCTAGATGAATTTAGCTGGTCAGTGTAGGAGGTAAAATTGCATTCAGGCAGAATTCCTTCTCTGTTTTTCCTTGGAAATTGGACTGTTTGTTTCTTTGTTTTCCAACAATGTTTATAGTAAGAATATGATGTGCCCAATGT